TAGTACTAATAAAGCAATTCCAGGGCTTATGGTGAGATGCCCTACACTCTGCCAATATTCTTCTAGGTTCTGAATGGGTGTGGTTTTCTAAATACCAACGGCTAAACTCTCACCTCAAACGCGGTGATGATTCATCTGGAACATTTGAAAAGTGATTGAAGCTGAATTACATAGCGAGAGTGTTTTTGTAGAGATTGTATAGGGAGCATCCCCGAGCAAGGAGAAACATCGTTTTGCAAGAGAAGTACTATGCATGGTAAGAGGGAAGGGTTCTCCCATGGCCCAGGCACCAACGGCGTTGCTCAAAGAGCTCCCGCGAAACATTTCCTTAACTGCGGATTTCGTTGGTAGACAAGCTTTGGCATTCAGATTGCGCAAAGACTATCTCGGGATTGAAGCAGGGTTTCCTTCAAAGTCTTCGGAAGGATGCGACAAGGATAATGGCGTAATGTAGACCTCTAATTAATGAATGGCTTGACCCCAGAAATCCGGCTTATTGTCATATTGTCCACTAATTAATGAATTCATGGTTTTCATCGCTGCAAGCAACTCTTTTCTCAATCTACAATGCCAAGACTCCGATTACTCCCGCCCAGTGTCTTTATCCTGGATGGATCAGACCCAGAAGATTTATGTTTGCCACCGGACCAAAAACATCCCTCGCAAAAAGAAACCAATGTTGGGGGGTGGTTATGCATAGCTTTACATTAAAGCACATGATTGTGATATGGTATAGCCATGTCATACTAGAAACTGCAGTATGCTTTCGGCATGGAATGGTGCTGCTTCAACAGTCGTGGTCACCAATTTTGTTTGGCCATTATTGCTTCAGTTGTAGCTTGATGGCCAGTACAGGTGCGGCCGCGCGTTCCTAGCTTAAGTTGTGATAGCCAGATCTTTGCAAGTTTATTGTTGAATAATCATGAACCTTTAAGAAGAGCCTGCAAGCATGTTCGGAGGCCTCTGCGCAGCCAATGACCCGCAAGGCGGCCTCAACACCAGTCTGAGCGTCACAAAGGCGTTGTTTTTTTTTTAACACTTTTCCTGGTCGCCACAGGACAATATCTGTAGGGCAGATACTGAGAAGCCTTGCAAAAACAAGAACGAAGGACAATTTGCAGTAACCTCTTGTGCTTGAGAGCAATGCTGAGTATGCTGGATGCACCCCCACATGGTTTTCTGACTCAACAAAGGCCGAGGCACCAAAGGATGTCAGAACATGTTGTATCCTGCTGCATTGTCTGTATTTTATTTTCATGGCGAAACATGCCGTGCGCAGAGGTCACCTCAGCAACATTATCTGCAAAGCTATTGCCAGGCGGTAGCAACAACCAAGCGGATCGGTTGACGTGATTGTTGTGTGTCTGTTTGTGAAACGAGGCACGTTACGCCATGCTGTACCTACTTGCGACTTCTTAACCAACGAGTTGAGAAGATAGCAGACCCTGCTGCCGGCAGCTAAAGCTAAAAAATGCTGAGGCTGCCTCCGACCGTACAGATACCAGAGCATATTTTGTACAGTCTGCTACGTCGTCATGTGGACGACCATGTCTGACAGCACTTTCACAGAGTCGTGCTATGCTCCAGCTGTTTTGGTTCAGGGCAGGCAGCATGATCCTGGGTGCACATAACCAAATTGGTGAAAAATTGGTTTGTCACAGTTTCCCATTCAGTGTGAGCCGGACTGAATACTTCCAACAAGTTATCGTTTTCAATCACGAGTCAGCACTTGCAAAATTGTACTGTTTCAACATGGTAACGAATAAGCAGTTTGTAGAGGTAGAGCATGCCGCAAGTACTTCGTTGCAAAACCTGGGTGTCGCACAGCCCTTCCCTCAGTATCCATGGCAAAAATGGCACCTGCGCAATGGGCTTTAGATACAGACTGGAGTGGATCCGAACGGAGCTCTGAACTGGCAAGGGTCCCTTCACCTCTTTTTCTTGTGAATCAACATGTGGATCCTACGTTCCTGAACGAAACGTTTTGCCTTATCATTCATGAGACCATCCCATGTCAGGAAATTGGCAGGATCAGTGCGACAAGGCTGCCCGGTGACAGTTCTGCATGCGTGTTGTATGTCGGGCTTGAGAAGGATGCTTGATGATCCTCATGATGAGCGCATGCTTTCAGATCAATACAATTTACAGAATTTACACCTCATAGTAGACGCGCCACGGATGGGAGCAAACAGAAACAGAGGGTCGATCGTATGGTGTGATGGCTACCGCCAAGGAGCCTTGACAACTACCACTATTGTCGTCCTCATCTCTATTCCTGCCCTGTTCCACCTTGATACACGCTGGATTCTGTCTACTTGTGGTATCAGACGATTCTTCTTTTGAAGTCACAAAACATCCGTACAGTCTCCGCTCACTTGCAGGCGAGACTGTTGCAGATCAACTCGTTTGACTTTGCAAGGCTGCACCGGCTGGTCATGTGGGCTGTGAGATGCTAACATGCCATGGTACCACCTGACAGTCATCATTTTTACGATGACGACGCGAGAGTGATAGGAAGGATGGCACTACAGAACGGTTGCAGTACCAACAGGACTGCAGACTGGCGATGGCAGGTTCCCTTCAGCACAGGCAAGAGTGCTTCTGCTAGATGCTGTGGGGCTGTTTTCAGCCAAATTCATCTCAGCAAGCAGCTGAGGGTGGTTGGCTCAAAGTTCGGCTGTAGGACAGCCTTTCTGAGTAGCGGCATTGCACCAAACAAGCAGAGTGGCACTCTGCTCTGAGAGCAGTCAACTGTTCCTTCTGCCAGGCAAGATTTAAACCCGAAACTATGTCCAAAACGATGTTTTTTCCTGAATGAGGATGTCAGCCCTGACGGTAGACCCCCTATATGCACGCAGGATACAACTGTCTCCATGTTATTGCGTATTGAACTGGAAGTGGAGGGCCAAGATGTGCACGCTGTGCAGGCGCCGCAGATCCCGCAACCAGCGGTTTTTGGTGCCAGCAGAGGCGCCACATGTCAGAGATTGGAAAAGTCCAGTACAGAGCTTGGGAATTGAATATCACAAGCACTTGCCTTTAGCTTGTCTTGTGTCTTTGCAAGTGTTTGATGCAAGTATGGTAACCATCGTCGTGAGATGATCCTTCTCCAGCTGAAGGCGTTCCCCGATAGTCGGTCAAGTACCTGGTTTGTTTGCTGCCTCCATCGAGGAATTGCTGCCTTCCCCTGCGATTGTGACAGCATGCGATGGTCTTGCATCTTGCAGGTACCCGAGGGGGCACACCAACGACCTGAACAACGCGTCGAAGATGGTTGCAGGCTTGATGCTTGGAGGTCTCTCCTTTGGTGCATGCATAGACATTTGTGTATATATATATATGTATGTGTACATATATATATATAGATGTACATATATGGAGGAGCTGCAGTCTGCCAGGCGTGGTGAAGACCAACTCCTGGCACACGAGCGGTGGAATGCGGTCTAGCCCTAAGAGCCTGCTTGACGGGTGGCAGGCGTAGTATTTCATATTTTACTTGTGCCAGCTGCATGCGATCAGCCAAGATCAACTTATTCCGGGGCTTTCGGCATCCCTGGCTACCCCGGCTGGCTTTGTTTCCTCTGCCATCAACTCTAGTGCAGAATCCTTTCATGTTATAGGGATTGACTGGATTGGACTTTGTAGTACTCCTTTGTGTGTCATGCTGGGTAGTCAGAGATCGAAAGTATATGTGGCGGGCATCACCCTCACGCTCCAAAGCCTCATGGCCAGGGCGGGAGACGCGCTCTTGGCAACAGGAGCTGGCGGTAACAACCTGAGCATGAGTCATCAGATATCCATCCAAGGTGCAAGGGCATAAACTAGCATGTCACGGATTTGGCATCCTGGGCTTACCAGGGCAATGCAAAGCTACCTCACCCGACCTCACCCTAAATGGTGGTTTATATGAGGATAGGTGCCCAAATGGCTTTAAATTGGGAATTGAAATTGTTCTAGATTCTAAGTTACCCTGGCTTGCGTAGGAGGACCACAAGAAGGTCATCAGGAACAAGAGATCTCTGAACACTTTTCTGCCCAGGCTTTACGTGCAGAATCTTCGCTCGGGAGAGGTGCTGAGCTCCTGCTGCCTCAATGCACATTGCCTCTCCTCATGGACTGTTGCCTGTTAACATCAAGAGCTAGCTAGAAATGCGCTACACATGTACGGTTCATGGTATAGATCAATTTCATGCAGGCGCAATTTGAAGCGGATTCATTGATCCAGGAATGGGACGACATTTCTGGTATTTTGTGGTCGCTTATCGGCTCATGTTTTGTGCCAGATGATGACAGGTTCTCTTTCATCTAGATCCACGCCGAATTTGCATGATGGGCGCCCTTCTCTCACCTGAGATGCAGGTTGCGCATTAACACCTGTCGTGATACAAGACAGGCCTGTTATAAACCGCATTGTGTGACCCACCATTTGCGGATCGCAGCGTCAAACCGAACCGCAGCGAATTCATGGCTACGCCCTTAAGGGGCTCCAGCAGCCGGAGGAAAAGATGCTTGCAGCAGCTAGACAGAAGCGGCATACTTGACCTCAAGACGCAGGCATTTCAATCTCATGATTATGTTCCATGTTTGCAAGAATTGAGCTGCTGCAGTGGAGTTAAATCACCTAGCCTGCAGCATGCTTTTTAGTGCATGCGGAGACCTCTGGCCAAATTGGTTGCGCGGCTCGAGAGCAGAAGCCAGCATAGGAGGGGAAGACGGGACAGCTGAAACCGCAGGAGAGTGCAAGCATCACATGCAGTATCGAGAGGTACTGCTGGCCAGCACATGGTATTGAAGTGCTGGAGGGTGATCCACTTGTCAGGGACATATGATGAACCAAACATGCAAGTGAGTACCCAGATGGAACAGCATCATGGTTTACCGGAGATAAACAGTGACCATAGTGATGGCAGTAGCAGCATTTGAAGCAGTAATAGAAGCAGTAGCCACGGCATGCAGGAGCTCCCAAAACGGGATGCCGCGTGCAAAAAGTCTTTGCTGGCATGAGTGGCGTCGATATTGACGAGTGCGTTTCTGATGCTATAACGAGCAAGATTGCAGCCTTGCAGCAGATTCCATTGTTCCAGCAATGTAGAGAGTCTGTTGTTCACAAAACTGCTCAGCGACTGCAGACAAGATTCGCCGTGCCTGGCGAAATCGTGACCCGAGCTGGCGATGAGTCGGATTGCATCTTCCTTTTGGCATCTGGATCTGTACAAGTTTGGTCTTCCGCACACGAACCTGCTGACCTTAGCGATGCAGGAGTCATTGGTGACCCAAGAGTCTTGCTTCGCAGGGCTGGTGCTCAGCACAACGTCGTTGCAAAGACGTTTTGTCACATGCACATGCTGACGGCTGTTGAATTCAGAGAAGCTGCTGGTATCAAGGAAGATGACAGCCGGGATGTGGCACAACTTCTGGAGAGCCTCAAGAGTGCATGGAAGCCTGTGACTAAAAGCGAAGTCGTGGACAACGTCAGTCTGAGGAAGAGGACATCAATGAAGCGGGCGGTCACAACTGCTCTACGTGTCATACAGTTTGTCAGCGCCATCAAGAAAGAAGGCAGCAGAGAGCAAACGCTCGAGACATTGTTGTAGTTCATTGGAAATTTGATCTGGTCCCAGCAAGCTTTGTCTGAAGGTACCTGCAAGCACAGAAGGCATACAGAGAGCGACAACAACAGCAATGAGAGGAAGTAGTGCTGGAGGTTTGCAGGTGCTCGGCAAAGAATGATGCATCGGATCTCTTCACGATCTAGAGACATCTCAGAACAGTTGGTATGTTGCACATACAATCAGTACGTATACTCAGTATACTCCTACTACTAAGTAGCTTGGTCTGAAAAAACGACCGCAAAGCACTATCAGCTGACCAGAAACAAGGCAGCCCAAATTGCAACCCTGAAACACTGATCCAAGGCTTCAAACGCATCTTGTTTGTGTTTGATTGAGTTCTTGCCAGGCACGTGGTCGTTCGTCTTTTCAGACGTCGTTGTCATGGTCCAGTTCCTGGTCCTGATCCTGATCCTCCTCGTTGGGGCGCCATGTCCTCGTCTTGATCATCGTCTTCGTAGTGGTAGTGATAGTGGTAGTGGAAGTCGGGTGGTAGTATTATGGTAGTATTTGGTGGTACTTGTGGTGATGATGGTGGTGGTGGTGGTGGCGGCGGCGGCGGCTGCTGCTGCTGCTGCGGCTGCTGCTGCTGCTGCTGCGGCGGCGGCGGCGGCTGCTGCTGCTGCTGGCGGTGGCAGTGGCAGTGGCCTCGGCAGTGACGGCGGTGGTGGTGGTGCTGCTGGTGGTCGCAGCAGGCGCAGCAGTAGTTGTTGTCGTAGCTTTTCGGAACACTAGTAGGTGGTCTTAGTTAGTGGCTGTAGTCGTCATCATGGTAGTCGTCGTCGTAGTAGCAGTAGGCTGCTTTCACTTTCTCTTTCTATGGCTTCAAGGGCTTCTGAGGCGGAAGTCGCGGTATAATAGTGGACCATATTGAAAGACAAAAGAGCAGCAACTTCACTGCGATACAAAGACTGTGGCAGGCGCCAAGAAAGCCAACCGTGTGCAGCCGCACGCGGGGGAGCCTGCCGAGCCGGAGCCAAAGAAAGCCGCGGTGGCCAAGCAAGCCTCGGCCTCCAAGGATTGCTGGGATTACCGCCGAAATACACGCGCAAAGATTCCCGCCCAAACAGAAACCTCATGGTCTGTGACATCTAGGATCTACCTGACATGTTGTGAGAAGGTTGAAGGGGCTGGCAGACATTCCCATGAAAGGAGACCAAGATGCCGAAGGAGCCCAGGGAGCCAAAGGAGCCAAAGCCAAAGGAGGGCTCTACCAAGCGGAGGCTCCAATACGCGAGGGCGTACCTTCCAGACAATGGGAGGAATTCACGTGGCTCATAGAGTTCAGTCGCATGATTCGGGCCCGAAAGTCTCAGGTTGTTGGGCGACGGACTTAAGTTCTGGCAATGTTTCGGGTGATGCTATGAGAAGGCCAACATCGCGACTCCACAGAGAGCTCAAGGCCAACAAGGACATCCAATACCTCAAGAGTTCTTTCTCAGCAGAATCTTAGGTTGGTGCTTTGTCTCTGCGCGCTGTTTGTCTAGAATCTAGAAGAGTCGTCACTTGTCAGGCATATTTGCACAATCAACCACTGCAGGACAAGCTCTCAGAAGACGACCAGGCAGCGTTGCTTTGAGCACATGGACATCTCCAAACACGTGGTCTCATTCACCCCCCCACGCACAATCACAATACGATTGGGGAAGAGCAATGCAGGCAAAGTCTCCACTACAGTCAGCATGTCTCAAATTGGGACACCCTCACAATCAAGGAATATGTCGCAAAAAGAGGCCCATGACCATGAGGCATTCAATTCTGGAAGCTCCCGTGTGCTTGTAGGACAGGGAAGCAAGCGGACAGAAGTGGCAGCCTTAGAGCATGCCAGAAGTGCATTCAGGAGCTAGACTTGGTCAGACTTGGCAGGGAATGAGGGGGTGGATCCTCCGACTGGTCCCAAGATCATCAGGAGCATGCAGCTGCATGAAAACCCACACTGTTTTCCTGTTTGTTCTCCCAGGAAGTGCCAGAAAAGTAAAGCGTCCTGCAAGTTCCAATGCACCATGAGTCATTTCCTGTCCATGATCTTGCCAAGGGATGTTCTCACCTTCAACACAGAAGTACACAGCTCAGACCTTCCCCGAGTCTGTTCCACAAGCTACTCAAAACTTCCAATATGAGGCACAGAAAATGGAGATCTCCATGTCCTTGCAGAGCCTCGACTTCTTCTCGACGCTGGTGTGGGCATATGCCAGAAACACAAGTAAGAAATTTTTCTGCTTGCCATGACAAGCACTGTGATCCCACGACAGGACACGTTCAGCTTTGAGCGTTTGATCTCACTTTTTCAGAAGAAATTCTGGAGGCAAAGAACGCACTTGTCGCGAAAAAGGGAGGCATGAGTATGGATGAGTCTTGCGTTGTCCTACAGGAGGAACGAACAGCTTCTGGTCGAGGGCAAGCCTGCAAAGGTGCCAGTTCATGGTGGGTTTCCCCTATTCACCTTGAAGCGTTCCAGCAGGCCATGCACGTGGTACTCCAGGGTGACGTCAACATTGTCATTGGTGGCAAGGCCTTGGGACCCTGCTTATCTCCCAAGTTGCAAAGAATTACGTGTAACCCGCCTGTCATTCCCCTATTTGATCATCATACGATCCGCACAGGGTCCTGCATAGTTTCTACAATAGCTTAAAGTTGGGAGGAGCTTCCTAGAACCGATCCCTAGAGAAAGAGAGAGATAGAGAGAGACGAAAGAAAGAAAGAGAGAGAGAGAAGAGAATGTGGGTATATGGTGCCCCTTTTACGATGGTAGTCTCATTCCAGATGAAAAGCTCTCGGCAGCAGGCGTGGGGCTAAGCCTACTGCGGTTTCACAGCCAACTGGAGGTAGGGGTCTGTCACATGCCATAATTTGGGCTGCTAATGCACGCGTACCGTATGTGGAGTGAGCGGTCGCAGACTCTGGACTCGTTGGTCCCGACTCGAACGAACCCTGTGCTAGGGCTCAAGGTTTCTCCCCGGCTTCCCTGCAAGGGGGGGGCGTAGCCCGCAGAAGAAGAAGAAGAAGAAGGAGAGAGAGAGAGAGAGAGAAAGAGAGTCCCGGCAATACGTCTGCTTTGCCTGAATGACCCTTTAAACAGTAGCTCTCTTTGGAGAAATCCCAAAACTGCACAGGTTCTCAACAAGTTAGGTGCCGATCTCAGCCTTCCCCAACCGGCCGAGCTTGCCGCCAGCTTGTTGAGCATTTTCATGTTTTATCGCTAGTATCAGTAGTACAAAAGAAGCTTCGCAAAGCCGTTGTTGCGGTCAGCGGCGTCGTCTTCCTCCTGCTCCGCCTGGTCCTTGTTGTCCTTGCCCTCGTCGTCGTCGCCGCCGGTCGTCGTGTGGTCGTGGTCGTGGTGGTTGCGGTGGCGGACCAAGGAGGCAGCATCGTGGATGATTTTGGGGGTGGTGATGTTCTTGTTATTGTTGTTGTGATGCTTATGTATTAATATGTCTACATGTATTTGCTTGCCAGTTTCCTCCTCCTTTGCCTGTAGCTCTATTCCAGTTGCGTTGGCTGAAAAAGGCCCGAAGTCAGTCGTTGGAGAGCGCTCCGTGTTCCACTCAGCCGTCTTTCTAGCACGGTGAGTAACATAGCTCGGTTCAAGATGGATCCGGTGTGGATTGCGCATTGGCCATCTCAGATGGGACGGATAATCAGTTTGGATACGGGTGCAAAGTACTTCTGAGTACTGCTTGGATTATGGCGCTGGTTTGACTTTGCGGGAGTGACATCTTAGAGATCTTGCGGTTCGCATCAGCTCCATACCAGACCGCTAAGACTTCAGTCATGTTGATCTCCTTCCAAAACCGGTCAGCATATACTAGCCGATTAGAGACAGGGAAACCACACAAGCTTCTCAACTCGTGTCTGTCTCTTGGGATGCCTACAGCAGCAATTGCAGTGTTTGATTTATTTGTGCGCGGCACATCTTGGGCAAGAACTACAAAGTCCCCGATCTGAAATCTGAATGACTAGTCTTTGCAAAGATGTTTCTGATAAAAGAATCCAAGCAACCAGGGCGCCCAAACTTCAGAGCGATCTTGGGGAGAAACTACATGGGTAGAGCTTTCCCATCTAGTGACCTCCTATTGCAACACAAACTCAAAGCACGTTCTTCTGTTCCGCCTGGTCGAACTCCTTCGTATGGAGTGGTGTGGCCGCGCTCCGGTTGAGCTAGTTTGTCTTGGTTTCCCAAAATTAGGGGTCCCTGTAATAAGGGCTATAGTATTTTGGGGTCTATATCGGGGTCCCCTTGTTTTGGGAAACTACCTTGTCTTGGTTCCCATGATTCAAAAGGGTTCTGCAGGCATGTGCCTTGAGAAGCCGAAAACCATCAAACAGAAATCCAAACTTTTGACCCTGAAACCAAAGTAAGGTCTTGAGCTCTAGCTCCGGAGATCCAGCTCCTTGCGGCGCAACCGTCACAGCTGCCAGATTCCCAGTCTTCGGGACGCTGTGCTTCAACTACCAATAGCAGCAAGCAGCAGCAGTAGCAATAGAAGTAATCCAAGACCATCACTCCAGCGTCGCGTCAGAATGAACTTCAGTTTACATGAAGAACTAGGGATAATGATTCCAAGCTTTCGGGGTCCCGCGCTTAAATTTTGAGAAGGATTGCCGTGTCCAGATCTAGGGTGGCCAGTTCTAAGTTATGGTTTATTGCTTCAGGAATCTTTTTCAAATATGTTGTTCTTGTGCGTAGTTCATGTTGGGGGTTCTGCGATTGGGTAGGTCAGTTTCCAATGCTTGGATGCTGGTGTGGGGTTGGGCTAAAATGTCGGGTGTGGCATTTCCAGCCGTGGGATAGCCATTAGGCTTCTAAGAATAGCAAGTCCAAGTTGCATGAAAGTTGAAGTCCAGTTTACACGTGAAGTGAAGCGGGTACAAGCCCAGGCTTTTCCGGAAGCTGCAGAAAACCGGTTGGTTTGGGCTGCGCATTACGCCCTGAAGCACAGGCAAGCCCAATCGTGATGACCGCATCAGCAGCACGAGCACACCTTCAAGATCTCTTCTTCAAGGAGCCGAGATGGACGTCACTACGAGTAGTGCGCATAGATAGTGATATGGCAATGGCGTAAGAACATCACAAGGATGCCGCCCTTTTGGAGCACTTCCAGTCCAGATTTGACATCGAGCGCGAACGTCGTGGAGTCACCAGCTTTCGGATCCCCAACTGCAATGAGTTTTCAAAGAAAGTTAACCTTCCGAACGTCCTTCCGCAAAGAATGTCTATATGTTAAGTCGTGGCTTACAACAAGGTATCTGAGGTTTATTGCATAGTGAGTGTAGAAAGGCTTCAAGACATTGCACAACAAGCACAGGGAGCACTTGCCTAGGGAAGCACACTTGCGATACACATGCTGCATCACAGATTGGATCGTTGGCGAGAACCACTGCTGCCCATTCACGTGCTCCTGGCGTGGCTTCTTCTTGTTGAACTTCAGCTTACTTCATTGATTTCTTCGGATCACACGCAGCTAGCATCAGGAACGTCAAGCTCTTTCGAGAGGCTGACCCAAGCTTCACCCAGGCAGGCGCACAAGCTTATAAGGGGCAGCTCTTGATAATTTAGCATGAAGCGGTCGCAAACGAAAGCTCCAAATCCGGCGTCCGTCTTTTGAGACAGCAGTGATGGTCTTTTTTGTCCTCCTCACACATGAGCTGACGGACACCTCCGTCACCCGCAATTCAGCTTCGTTCGAGTCATTAGATTTTTGGATCATCCTAAGTGGCCTGAAGGGGAATAATATAACCCCAATATTACCTCTATATAACCCTTATAGTAGTTTCCATTTTCCTTTCCATTATCCCAATATAACCCCAATATCATGTAAGATTTTGTAGGGCCAGAGTTGCCTCGGCTAACATGTGAGCTCTAGACAGGACGTCGTGCTCTGGGACAAGGGCTCCATTTTGGGGAGTTAAGCATGTTGCATATTGAAAGGGCGGATCCGGTTTCTGCAATCACCCATATTCCGATTGCTGCTGAAGCGGATTGGCATCAAGAAGGTACAACAATAATGGGCTGCTTTTTTGAGATGCCTGTATTCACGATGTTCATGAAGGATATGCATGGTGCAATAATGACATGCGACAAGGTGGCAGGCATGGGTCATGTTCATGATGGGCGGGAATGAAAAACAACCCTTGTGAATCCCTTGAATCCCAACCCCCAAATATTGAATGCTGTGACAGGCGCTAGAGGTGGCTGTGAAGGAAAAGGTCTTCGATGTGGGGGACAACTTAGTGACTGAGGGCCAGGAATGCCACGAGGCGTGGTGTTCAGGCTTTAAGACTAAAGCAAACGAAGAGTTAAGGGCTTATCTTGGCTGAGTAGGTTCCTAATTACAAGTTCAGGAGCAAGAGTTAAGGGCTTATCTTGGGCCGAGTAAGTTCCTAATTACAAGTTCACAAGCAAATACTTTGGATTTGGGCCTTTCTTTGAGCTTACTGTATGGGCACTGGTAGTCATCCCTTTGTCACCCCGTTTTCAAGTACCGATGCACTTCCAAGTAGAGATCACGATGATTTGTATGGAGAATTCCAGTTGGATTTCAGCGGTTGTTCATGTTCACGTGTACTATGGGTTTATTTGAGGATGAGGCACAAAAAGGCATTGATGATGACGATGTTCGTTTCGTGAGCTAGAGGCACGATGCCACAGAAAACAAGCAACGTTTGATTTTGAAAAGCAAGCTGGCTGTCACGAAGTCCCTGGCACATTTAGGAGCTGTGTTATTTTTTGATCAGGCGGTCATGCTCTGCCGCGGCACTGTGAATGTCTTGAGTGACGACGTCATAGTAGCAACTCGGATGCGATTTGATTCCGAGCTTGCATGGCCATTCCAGAGGCCAAAGGAAAGACCTTCTAGAGCAAGTCACTGGCTTTCAGAGATTCATGGCTTGAATAGAACACGAACACCGGTATGCTGAGCAGAGCACGGCCTTCTGCCCAAGCATTTGCACACTGTTGCTTCACGCTCGAAGTTCTGCTATTGGAAACATTGTCTCTGAATTTGGAACGAAGCTGAAAATTCGATTGGCCACCTCATGGCCCAGAACTTGCCAACCAGAAGCTTATGCTCTCAGCTGAGCCCACATCCCTGCGAGTTTTGAAATGTGCCACAAGCATGCAGCTCAGGCATCGTTCACTGTCAAGTCGGCGCCGACATGTTTGCAAACCAGTCTCCTCCCAGAGTTCATGCCTAACATCTTGTCGCAAAACAAGGTTACCAGCCAAATGGTAGATTCCAGATAGTGGAACAGGATCTGCGATGCGTTTTTCCAAGCAAGCACCAGTGGCAGGGACATGGAGGATGCTATGCTTTTCGGAGACTTTACGCTGCTGGGCTTGTGGCAAACTCCGAAAGCGTCCATTGCAGCAGCAACCTCCTGCCTCGTGCAGGCCGCTTGCTGCAGGATTTCTTGTCCAGGCGTAGACGTAAGACTAAAGCTCTTCTTGGATGACATTTTAAGAGGACCCAGAAAGGCACATTTTAATCTTGCCAGCTGCTGACATACCTGGGTGATTTTGTAACACGTATATTGAGTGAAAGTACCACTATTGTTCGCATTTCCGTCAGCAGCAGCAGCAGCAGCAATCAATCACAAGCCCAAGCTTTCAGTGCAGGTCATCCATTCAGATGCTCTTCGGCGCTGTCTTGACTTATATCCAGGCACGCACCACCTTGTGAGCAATCCTGCCGAGCTCCCTTCCGACATGCGGTCAGAATAATGCACCTTTTTTGAGACCTCGGGTTCAGGGCACATAACTGAAAATGGTGCGATTCGGTCAACGTGTAATTGGATCCGCACATGACCTAAGGAAGACCAAACTCCAAAGATTATAAGGGTGGCCCTGCCCTTAAAGCACACCCTCAACAAGGCAGAGCAACCAAACTTGGGCCCCTCATGAGCTCCCACATGCTCTGGGCGCCGTGTTCTCCCTGGCGTCCTAGGCACGATCATCCTAAAAGGCTCCCTATTCCCGAAGAAGCGCATCTGCTTGCTTAGTAGCTTGCAACTTTCACAGACAGAGAGACTATGGCTCAGATGAGTCCTTCATATTTCGCGAGCTGGTCGAGAAGCGGTTGGACGTCATATACCGTCAGGACGAATGGACAGCAATAAGCAGAGTGAAAAGAAGATCACAATTAGTGTCCATATTGAGAGGAAGGAACATCAGTAACAAGCGCTGCTGAGAATGAGAATAATGAGAAAACTCCCTTCAGCCAGTTCCTTGCTGGCAGCAGCCTTCTCAGGAGGAGCAAGTCAAGAAACAGAAGTCACAGGCAAGTCTTCAAGGCAGGACCTGGTAGACAGGTTCCTTTGTGATCTGTTGAAGTCATGTGAACACTGAGGCAGTGCTTTGGAGGTGCAGGACCGTGCTGAGACAAGCCCCAAATCTTTATCAGCTGGCTCGTTGATTCTGAAGGACGACACTCCGAAGAATGGCAACAGCAGCCCAGGTGGGTTGCTCACAGAGGATCAAATTAGTTTGCCTTGCCATGCACTCCACGATCCTCACAGAGTTGCGGGCAATGTTTCTCCAGAAAGCACGTTAGCAGTGTTCAGGCGCGGACAATGCCAAGATGGGTGAGGAGTCACGCCATTTGGGGTGGGTTTCCCGGCTTCAGTTTTTAGAGTTTTAGGTCTGGTCTTCATCCCAAGTGTATGCCCCCAGTAACGTGCCTTATTACCTTGTCCGCTCTATGGAGGTTAGAAGGACATCCCACTCACCAGAATCAACAACAAATGCAACCCAAAAGTATTGGACCAGGCCATATTGCCTTGGCTTACAAAGCCTGCTTAGGAGAGATGTGCTTGCTCGTCTCAAAATGCGAAGGGATCTGCATGTTATGTCAAACTCTAGCACCTTGGGCTTCGTGTGAGACGCCATGTGCTTACGGGCGCAAGACCCCTGGAGCCGAGGCAAGCAAAGAGCAATTGGCCTCCTTTCTGAACAAGCCTTCAAACCCAGAAGCGCGCATCCAAACCCGGAGACAGCCATGCATTCTACAAGCAGGCGATGGCTACAGGCGTCGCCAAGATTAAAACTTCACCCTTTCAAAGGTGCTCTCTTCCTAGCTGCCCCCCCTCACGATTCCAAGCAAGAAGATTCGTCAATGTTTGGGAACCCAATGCGGCCCAAAAATAATTCCCTTCTCACTCCAGACACACTGCTTACATGAACTTGTGACTCCCGATAGGAACCTCAAAAAGGGACTCCTAGCTCTGTTGGAATCCCTATGCAGTAGCTTTCCAAAAATCAAGTACGCGTGGCATGAGCAAGACAGTTGAGTCTGCAGGAGACGCCAGTGCTTTGCGCCAAGAAGCAGTGCACCGGAAGTTGCTACTTCGTGCATGTGTCCCATGCCGCCCGAACATACTGAAGGCCACCGCGTCGAACCATTCCGCGCGGAATACGACAGGCAAACTTCTTTCCAAAGCTGGAACATTGAGATAGTGGCCCTGCAGGTGAAGGATCTGCGCTTGCTATGCACAAAGGCCATGAAGGAGCTTGAGCCTCCAGCCCAGTATTGCAGGGTCAGAGGTCCGAAGTAGCCTAGCTACAACAGCTCTCAGCTGCTTCGGTCTAGGTCCTACCTGCACAAGCGACTGTTCATCCCGGATCAGGCCGAAATCAATGATTGGAGTTGAGGTACGTTTCTGTAGGCCACCAGAGATCAGCAGGCTGCCTGAGAGTAGAACTATTGGCAGATTACCTTTTCATCACCACTTCATTATGAGTACACATCATAGACATTGCAGAGCAGCATGAGTATTGTGTGCCATCATCACTTATAGTACCCTCACTGATGACAAACTGATGGGGAACATCAAGGACCGGGTTGGCCAGCCAGCTGGTGGTTGAGAGGCGAAGCCTGGAGTGAATCAACTGCCTTCAGCCCACTGCAAAAAAACTTCGAGCACCAGACGGAGGGTTCATGTGCCACACTTGCCAGGTGATTGTCCATCAAGGCACGGACCTGCAAGACGTGCACCCTGATGCAACATGAGTGTGATTGGTCATAGCAATAGCACCAGTCCACGTGTCCAGCGGATCCTGGACCCCCAATCATGTTGGGCCAGATGATAACATCTATGGTTCAGGCATGCCCACGGCAAGAGCGTCACGGAATGGCATTTGTGCCACAAGCATGTCAATGTCACGCAGCATCCACGCTGCCCAAATGACAATCCTTGCCAAGATCACGCCTATAGCTGACCTAGATATTCTTGTCCAGCTTAATTTCCTTTACACTTTGAGGTCATAGCCATAGCGCAGATTCTTGGCGAGGGTTGATGTCTCAACACATGACAAGCAGACGCAAAGTCCTGAAAAAGCTGGAATATGTGGGACTTGGGGCATGACTGGTACCCAAGAGCCGCATCGCATCCTGAAAAACCGGGTTGCTGAACGGCAGAAACATGTTCAAGGTGAACTGTGTGGATCCATCGATGCACAAGACCCCATCCGGTTGGAATGTTGGTGTTGTCGTAGTAGCAGGACTGAAAGCACAAGCCTTCCCCAGACTCACCTGGGACTTCTTGAGTTGTCAGGTATGTGCTGCAGCAAGGCACCTGTGAGGCCCTCATTTTCGGAGCAGCCTTCGAGACGATGCAAGGCCCTTGCAGCAAGTACGTGCTTAAAACAAAGATAATTGCTTTGTGAACAGAAGCCTGGGGCCCCCTTCTCAGGCTTTTCGTACACGTCAATCTTTCTATACGCGCACACATGCTGCATGAACGCGTAGAAGGGTAAATATACGGATAGAGGTGTATGCATGCATACGTTCAGTGGCCTGTCGCCGGTGCGTGCGTAGAAGTACACACAGTCCGCATGAACACATGCATGCATGTATATATATATATATGTGTACATTGGCTTCTGCTTCAGGCCCTTGCATCATCGGAGGTCTTCCATCAGTGCTGACGAAGAAGGTTTTCACAACGGTCATTGCCACAGCCGCTTGCTGCAGTGTTAACAGGCCTTTGAAGTCCAGGCCGTTCATGCGGGGCGCGTGTCAAAACATCACGTTTTGGGGCGGGAACACCGATGGTCGCCACTCCTAATCCCATTCAATGGCAGCATCAAGTGGAAGTGCAAGAAAAAGCGAGACCGTTTTGGACAGAAACAGTGCGATGTGATAGCAGAATGCTAGAACAGAGATATCTCTGCAAGCTAGCATATCATGACTTTCCTGTGCGTCAGCAAAAGGCGTTATGTGTTCAGGAACCACACTATGCTTTGAGAAAGAGCGTGCCAGCACTCGACTGAAGTGACCAGCAGCTACACCATAGACCGTCTCGTGTCACTGTCAGCACAACCAAACAGGAGCTGCGGATCTTAGGAGACCTGCTTCGTTGTCAAGATCTCCCAGAGGCACTTCAACGCCGTTTTGGACAAGTGTGGACCCCAGCATTCCATAATGTAACCAACTGCAATGGAAGCACGATCTAGCGGGCAATCAGAAAGTCAGACTCTGCATAGAACTGCCATGACAAAAACCTTGTAATTCTTCACATCATAGGTAAATGTCTTTCCCACACCAGAATTCGTTCTAACCACTGCAAGCTGTAGCATCGGCCTGCGGCCTTTGCAAAGGAGCTGAAGAAAAACCCTTCTTTACATGACAGCGAGAGGACTCCACCAAAAACGATCAGGATCGCAATTGTCTGAGCCAACTTGTGGAGGTAGCAGCGGAGCACTCGCAGTAAACGAAGCCAGAAGAAGAGAAAGGAGGCATCGTGGCATAGCAGTTGTCAAGAAGTTCCGCAGGTACCCAGAAGATCGCAAGAAGCTTTTTGCCGCTGCCAACCGCGCAGCACTGGCCGCATTTCGTATGCCCATGTGTCTCCCATTAAGTCACAGCAAGATGCGAGGCCTTCAGCACGTTGTGTGACGATTTTCAACAGAACGTGTGGATAGCTCAGGTGCGGGCAAGCTGTGTGGAGTTCAGTTTGATTAAGCCTGACTTTGTCACGCATTCTTTGGTAGGCAACAAGGTCTCACTGCTAGATTCAAGCGCTTGAGTGCACCAATTCTTCGATTTGGTATCAAAGTCAACAGGCACGCAGGGTCATGTTAGACAACAAAAGTTCTCTTTTGAATGTGTCATGGCAGCGCACACGCAGTAATTAATCAGCAAGCCTGCACAGCAATTTCGCACACAGATGTCAGTAGTCAACGGTGACTGCAACGGACTATGCTTGTGATCAGAGCCGGTGGCGCATGCAGACTTCTCAGCACTTTGAATTCACGCCCGAAGGTGTGCATGCACAAGGATGAAAGGGCATGTTTTTTGCTGCAGAAGGCGAAGCAACGTGTAGCAACGAGAGCATCACGGGTTCCGGGAGCCCAAACAAGCGTTAGTTCATGACACAGTCACCCTGCCAAAAACTCCGGCAGACACACCCTCTGCTTCACACTGCGCAAGCCGATGCTCTTAGTGAGGCCAGAAACACCTGCTGGCGGTAGCTGCAAAGCAAAAGCTTTTCAGACGGCTGGAAATCTCATCTCTTCTCTGTACCTGGCGCCTGATATTGGGTTAAACTCTAGGCACCTACTGACCATACAATTGAGCGAGGGCGAAACCGCACGCGGCACTCCTCACATGACATGGCCACGTTTTGCCGAAAGCGCTGTACAGGTGCTTGGCTCTGCATTTGGTTTGGAGCATGTCCCGGACAGATGGCATGAAAATGCGCGACCAGTCAACGTTGCAAAGTGGTTTTGAATCCCTGGCTTGCGCGTCATTTGGACGCAGAATCAATCATGGATTTTGTTTCTGCGTTTTTTTTCTCGAAAACGTCTCGCATGTTGGGTCCTCGTTTAGGTTCAAAGCGTGGAGGCGCGATACGGTAGGTACGCTAGGTGTACTTGGAGGATCGGTGTGGTTATA